GTGTCTGCCTGTGTTTGATCACGCTTTTCTGCTAAACACAAAAACTCGGTCAAGTGAGAGGGCGACAGAAGTAAAGCGCAAATGTTTTGTCAGTTGAGCGGAAAGTGCTCTCTCAGCACTTTTCTGATCAGCTGCACTCACTCAGAAAGTCAGCTTTTGGTTTGAGAACCTGCTATGTTGGCATTTCAATAGAAAACATTACAGTGAATGCGAAGAGAAAATCCACCTACATCAATAATAATTCGAAATTTCAGAGGATTTTTAACCCTTTCATGCATAGTGGTCAGTACAGTGGACAGCTACTCAAAGGTTGTTTTCTTGTATTTGTGTCAGTGTTGATGGTATACTTGCACATAAACCACTACATTGGACACTGATGTGTCACTCCATACCCTGCCACCCACTGGTCAACCAGTGGATGGCAGAGTTATATTTTTCAGACTTGTTACATACATTGTTATAGTGTTATAAAATATATTTAAAATATATGAAAAAAATATTTTTGTTATGTTATAGTTTTTACATAGTGTATATTATTTATTTAGTTGTCAAATTCATTAGTCAAAACTTATGTTCTTAACCCTAGTGGACAAAAAATTAAGTTCAAAAATCTTTTTTTTTTCATTCCTAAAGATGAATAAAAATACTTAAGAAAAAATCCTGATTGAGGTTGTCATAATTCATGCATGAAAATGTTAAATGCACATACATAACTGTCACATGAGATATTTAGTTTAAAATTAAAATATCAGAATAGGTCTTATCATATATCCAATCCAACTCAAATTTATTTATAAATCACTTTAAAATACCCAGCACAGGAACAAAGTGCTGTACAGAAAACAAGTTAAAAACATTAGAATAACAGAAAACAGCAAAAATAAATAAATAAAACACATAATGCATAAAATTAAAACAGCTCTATATTAAAACAAAAACAAGATAAAACAGCATAGAATCAACTAAAAACAACTAAAATAAAAAATAAAAATAAAACCAACATCTCACGTGGTGTCAAAGGCCAGGGTAAAGAGGTGGGTTTTTAAGACTGACTTAAAAACAGGTAAAGAAGTGGCCTGTCTAATCTCTAAAGGAAGCTCGCTATATTAAAAAAGAGTTATACCCAACATGATATTAAAATATGTTAACCCTTAATAATGTGAGTTCATGTGTGTTTAATTAGGGTTTTAATTTAATCAAGCCATTATATGTTTTAATTACACTCATTTTGTGGTTCTGACTATGTCTCAGCATGCATGCAGTTCTTTTATTTAAAAAAAAAAGTTTCAAATCGGTATTTCTTCTGTATACACACACACAAATACAAT